CCCCTTCGACGAAGCAGAAAGAGCAGAGACTGACAGATGCTCTTTCATGACAACTCTGTCGCGTTTGTGGATGAAGGCTAGTAATCTGTGAGCAATGCGTGGATAATGGACATATGGAATGATGTCAAACTGATTTACATTTTTGTGCGATAAGAGATTTGCTTCGGCGGGATCGCTCAAGTTTTGCAATAAAGAATTTTCATCAGCACAAATCTTAATTCAGGCCAAACGGACTGTCAAATGTCACAATTTTGAGCGACTCCGGGGGTGGCAGCTTTGTTTGTCTTTCATGACGACATGAACCATATAAAACTCATTCACAACAACTCAGCCATCAATGCGACTTGTCCTGGCTGTTTATGCGTGAGAACCATGAATGAAAATTGGCGCCCCTTCAATCTTCCCTTGAGCTTTTTATTTTCGCGCAATTTTTCTAGAACCCATTTGGGTGCCATCTGGCATAAACAGTAGTCGACGTTCCGCAAACCTTTGTTCAACGCTCAACATTAAACTTGTAAACATAATTTGAAGACCCGATGGCACAAGCAGCCAGAGAATCACATGGGAAACATTAGCTTCAGGAGACAGAGAGCAAAGTTTGCAAACAGCATCGTACGACAGTTTGAACAGATCCCGGTGATGTGGAAACCGAGTGACAGCTCTTTAAGAGAGGCTTCCGTCGAATGTTGCGGATTTAAACGGGTTGGCCTGCCGCCTGGAGGTCAGTAAAGCTCTTATTGGTGAACAGGAGAGGTACAACTGGCAGTTAAAAAGGAAAAGGCTGCGTTCAAGAAATGGCTTGAAAGCAAAGAGCCTTCTACTCGAGTGCGATATGTCGAAGCAAAACAAACCGGCAGCGAAACCAGTGGCGAACGCCGAAGCTAATTCCTGAGAGAAGTTCGATGAGGTATTGGAGTCGAATTTCCGCTTGGCAAGCAACGTATTTTGGCAGACTAATCGCCGACTTCGAATTGAAAAGGAAAGCAGTCCAAGAGTCTTGATGGACGGGTCTGGACATCCTCTTAATCGACTATTTGCTGTCCAGCCGACCGGCAGAAGACCCAAGATTAAGTGCCAGGCATTGAATGAGTATGGTTTAGATCGCGGTTGTCTTCTGTCGAAGCTCAGATGCTGGGAACGTTGTAAGCACTCTCTGGCGTGTCTGTACCCGCTAGCCGGAAGTCAAAGCGATGGCGGAAAGTGAAATATAGCATAATTTGAAATAGCGTATATTTAAAGGGAATTGCGTCAAATTTTTTGGTAGTATTCTCATGCGTACTATCCTAATATCACATAATATCACAATGCTAGCTAATTTTGGCCTACAGCTAATATTAGCTGTTATTATTAACTATATGTAGTGCAGTGCAACGCTTGCTACTTGTATATCACTTATTTTTTATCGTAGTGCTTCGAACGCTTTACGGCGATTACCTACTTTGAGCTTATGGATGATTATTCCATGACTGATACATATCAGAACTCCGGGTATAATGTAGAACATAGCGATGTGACATTGAAAATAGGCCTCGTTTCCGAACCACTCGATATTGCAAGAAAATATTGGCTCCTCGTCACTTGACGTTTCAATCGTTATTCGATGATGAACGGTGAATATCAGCAGGGGAAAGCTAACAATGAAGCTCGAAATCCACAGGGCACATATGATCATCTGGGTATTTCTGCGACTAAACAGAGATTTCTTCATCGGAAGACATATGATGATGTAGCGCTCCACTGTAATGGCCATAATGTTGCAGATTAGCACGCTGACAGACCAGAACTGCAAAAAACTGACGGATTTACCTGAAAAAAAAGAAATGTACAAAAGTATAGCATAAATAAGAAAAATTCATTTAACTCCGCAGTAAAATCTGTCCTCTAGCTTTGCATCAAAACTAGATTTAGTTTTATTAGGAGGGTATTGAGTTTATAATTGATTTGGAGCTTTGAGGTAGTCTCCAATTATTGAATGTCTTTTATTGCATCAATGTTTTGCTCAGGAAAGATACGCAATGATTCCTTTAATAACCGTCTAATTCTCTCCTCGTTTCCGTCATTAGTTGAGACATTGACTGCTTTACGAAATAGGAATAGAAGGTTTGCCGGTCTCCAATGCGCTTTCATGACAGGGAGGCGTTTGATGCGCCCTTGATTTCATGAAGATTACAGTACGGCGCTGATCTCCATTTCCGTGCCATCAGTCCAGGGCGCCCTTCAATTTTAAAGACAGTATCTATAATTATGTGAAAAGCACGGCATATAATCTTCGGTTTCTTTCGCATAAAGTTGTACTTATTTGTCTACCTTGAAAGAAAAATGGCGAGTGACCCGCGGGGCTCAAACCCGGATCCTCTGAGTTCCAACTCTGACGCTGCCGTATCGACTGAGCAGTCTGGTCAATAAAAATTTGTCCATAATTATATTCTATGGAATGCGTCCCAAAGGTTGAATTAAAAGGATGGTAGCTCCCCGCGACTTTTGTGCGTTTTGCAGACCTCATCTTTAGGGTCCTGAGTGCCTTCCAGACATGAGCAGCGGTGTCGATCGTATGCTACAGCGTCACCCCGTTGAGGCATATGCACTTGCGTCGTTATCCCTTTGAAACAGGAATAAATTTGTCATAATCGCTATATGTCGTACTCTATGTTACAAAACAGAGTAGAGTCATACTTACACACTATTGGTCCAAGCAGCCATTTGTCACCTGAATGAAGGTCGTATACGGCTACGGGCAAACAGAAAGAGATGATCATCAGATCGGCCATACTGAGGGACAGCAGGTAGAAATTGGTCACCGTCTTTCGCAGGCCCTTGTCCTTAAGAAAAACAACAGCAACTAAAAAATTGCCCACAAATCCGACTACGAAACTGGCTGCGTAGATGACCGTAGCAATCAGCTGAAACGACGGGAACCATTCGAAACCAATGGATTGGTGCTTTGCGAAAGAAACGTTGTCGAACTCCGCTGAAACATTTGGTAGGAGGACAAAATTGCCTCTTTCAGACATAATGACCACAGCAGGATGACGGACTGCCACCTACGTCTCTGAAGAAGGTAAAACGGTAGTCAGGTATGTTTCGAGTAGCACAAGATTAAGCGGAAACATCGCGGCTTCCATTTACCATACTTAAGTATTTTAAGATTGACAAAAACAAACAAAGCTGTAAACAAGTAAGAGCAATATATAACAATAAAATGAACGGCATATTATATTTAGTCTAATATATTAAATCTGTCCTAATATGTAACTACTACATAAACATCATAAGTTGTTCATACGTTCGATTATGCAAAATAACGAATGACTACTTCAAGACAAGTTTTCACGATGCAATACACCACAGCTTACCTCCTAGTTGCCTAAGAGGGCAATTTAAGTAGGCCACGTCACCACAGTATCTGAAGATCTGCAATGACAGATACTGAACGCATCATTTTGTCCGCTAGAGCCACTAGCACTAATCACGAACGATGTTTCAGGAACTGGCTCTCATCATATGCTGCAGAAACGTCGATCGTTCCTGTATCCCTGAGCATGACAAGTGACGAATGACTCATCCATAACGAGGTTATACGGCGTATTGCACTCTCCTAGTTGTCTAGGGAAACATTGAGGCAGGTATTCATCTCACGCTATGACGCTTATGTTGTTGAACATGAGGAGCATCAGCTTCTGAAACATCATTCGTGTTGAGGAAGCGGTGGACTTAGAGAACAAAATGACGCAAGATTCATTTGGCAATGCTAGTGCTGAAATATCACTGAACAGTAGCCTCATTAAATAGCCTCCTCGGCAACTAGGGGCGATGCAAAACCGCGTCAAATCAGACCATGGATAGATGAGTCATTCGTTATTTAAGGCGAACCTGAAGGCAAGGTACAAGAATGTTTGTCGATGATCGATCTTGTGGTCAGCGATAAGCAGCGAGGTCTTATCCTTGTAACGTGATGGGAGGTCTGCCTATGCACTGAAAGTTCAAAAATATTGCAGATTTTTGAACGTGAATAGCATTATTGGGACCAACGAAGATTCACTTCTGAAACTAATGTCTCGTCGAAAGACAATAAGCTGATTTGTTAAAATGATCTTCAAGGACGTTTGATTCATCCATCTTCAAATAACTGTAAAAACATGCCTCTTCTTTAAAATCCGGAAGTAATAAATGATGAAAATGCCATTCGGCAAAGATGATCAAAGCGGTTGAAGAAATTGACTATTTTAAGAACCTCGACTGTATCATCTTCAGCGATGATCACATCGAATCAGGATTAAATAGGACAATCGTTTTAGCCTCGAGCCTTCGTAAACATGTCCTATATTTCATGTGTAAGTGGGGTACCTCTTTCCACAAAATCTCGCCTGTACCATGCCTCTGCCAAATCAGTGCTGTTATACGGCACGGAGGCAGTTGTTTTAACGAAGGAGCAAGAACAGCAATTGAACTGCGTTGGCGAGCGTTGACTCCGACAGATAATGAGGGTCAAATGACAGGACCAAGTAAAGAACGACTCTGTTCAATTTCTGATGCAGGTGACCTCAGTAGATGCGGTGATAAGCAAAAGTAGGTTGGGTATGTGGCGAATCCTTGCTGAGCATGCTCCATTACCTTGAGCCAACCACCAGCTTCTCGTATGGGGGCAGAAAGAAGGCAGACGTCGGCCAGGTGACCAATAGCCAGCCTGAAAGAACCAGGTGGAAGCAGAGCAGCTTTCAGCGAGGCACATTTCCCTCTATGATGCAGTAACCAGAACCATACCGGCGTGAAGTGTTGAAATGCTACGAATATAGCGAAATCACAAACCAGAGACGTCATGGTAGTGCAACCAACCCAACGTATTGATATGACAAACAATGAGCCTAGGCAGCAGAACGGCTGATTGATAGTTACGGCTGTCACTATCATCTGATTTGGCTGAGATCAATGACATCCTGCGTCGCTACCTTACATTTCAGTTGATCGCCCGCGATAATGACGGAGCTGACAGTGACGCAAGGGCTTCGTAGGCTGCTTTGCAGTTCTGAGGAGTCAGGTTTCCACCTCAAGAGCTACTCAGACAGTTTCCTCGTTGAATCCTTTGAACAATGAATGCACCAGATTATACAGTAGGCAATTGGCCAAGAAACCGGTAGCAAATCGCTGATGTCGAGTACGAGGGTCTGCCCTGCACGACGCTCTTGCAT